GCCTGGGATTACACCTCACCCCCTACCCAACCCTGTTGCTGGTCACATGCTCCATATTGTTGTACTGTGGACATTTATGTGCTTTTCTGTGCGGAGGAGTTTTTTTTGTTTCCTGTTCTCATGCTGTCCTCCTATAGCCCAGCATGAGTAGAGGTCTCTTTTTTTTCCTCTTGTACTTTCCTATTGTAGTGTACATTTCAGTGTTTTTCTGTAATGCAACCGTTCTCTGACTTGTATCCTCATGTGATGTCTGTGTTGTGTGTGTATGGTCGGGGGGCGGGTTCATTCTACTGCAGGGCAACCTGCCACTGCATGTGGCGAATAAAATTTGAACTTGAATTTGAACTTGAACAAGTTTAAGCTAAAGTAATGAGTGCTGGACAGGAGAAAAGGTTTTCTGCAAGAAGTCAATGGCTTGGACAAGAGTTGAACCACAGCTGTAAATAACTGTGTCATCAGCATAGAAGTGCAATGTTGCATCTAACACATTTAGGCCAAGATTGTTTATGTAAATGATAAATAGAAGGGGACCTAATACAGAGCCCTGTGACACTCCGTTTATTTCTTGGACTTATGTGCAAATCCCATTTTGTCCATAACGAGTACCATGTTCGAAAATAGTGGTTTCCATAAGTGCACATGGCACCAGGATGCCCTAGGTCACGGATCGATGATGGATTTTGTAAATGTATCACTGGACCTGTAGTCATATGTTCTGGACACTCTGGTAAAGAGTTGGGCTGAGATATCAGCTGATCACCACCTGGTGGTGAGTCGAATCACACGGACAGACCAAGCACACCTAAAACTACAGTGAAGGTGCGCTGCGAATGCCTGGCAGAGGCTCCAGTCCACGAGATCTTCAACTCACAGCTGTGGCATGTGGAACGTCGGAGGCAATAAGTCAGACTCCTGGTGGGAAATGGCCTCCAGTTTGCCTGTAACAGGCCGTGGCCTAGTGTGAGCAGTGGGGATGAGAATCAACATTTTCAAATTTCCACCATGTTCCTGAGTTGGAAAAGGTTGGAGTGCCCACTCTGGGTCATGGATGAGATCCTGTCCCAAGTGGAGGATTTTACGTATCTTTAGGTCTTGTTCACGAGTGACGGGAGAAGGAAGCAGGATATTGAGAGACGGATTGGTGCTGCGGCTGAAGTGATACAGATGCTGTATCAGTCCGTCGTGTTGTAGAGACAGCTGAGTGTAAAAGGAAACTACCCACACCTAACTGTAACTGGGGACTGCATTTAGTATATACGGTCCATAGTTTCACACACACACACACACGCACACACGCACACACACGCACACACACTGCGACAACATGGTGAGAGATGGATGGATCAGTTGACAGTGAGATAATATTCAAATTTGATAGCGGTTGTTAGGTGTCACTTTAGTGTGTAACACTAAGTTTTCTGTCTGTGCTGATCCACCTGTAACCAACTAAAATATATAGTGAGAAATATTTTAAAGAACATTTTGTGGTCTATTTAGTTATTGAAAACTACGTAATGAAATGTGGTAAATGGGAGTGTGATGGACGTATGTGTGTTCTCATTATGAATTTTTTTTTTTCAGCACATGAACTCAGAATAATGCTGTTTGGAAAAAATGATGACAAGAAATCAGCCCTGGAAAACATCATCACTGGAAAGAAAAGATCCATTGTGTCTAAAGTCCTTGGAGGAAGGCAATGTCCCGCTGCCTCTGGAGAGTGGAACGGGAAACCGTTAACAGTAGTCAAAACTCCCGACATCTTCAGTCTGTCTGTTGATAAATTGTTAGAGGTGATGAAGAGCTGTGTGAGTCTCTGTCCTCCTGGACCAAATGTTCTGCTGCTGTTAGTGAGATCTGATTTCTCTGAAGAGGACAGAAAAGCTCTGAACTTGGTCCTCAGTGTGTTTGGTCAAGATGCATTTAAGCACTCCATGGTCATCCTGACACATAATGAGAGAAAGAGTAAGTCAGTGGAAAGACTCATCAAACGCTGTGATCACAGGGAGGAATATATCAGTTTTGACAAAAAAGACATTCCCATATCTCACTCAAAGTTTATGGAAAAAATGAATCAAATAGTGAGTAAAAACTGGGGAAAATATCTAACGTTAAAAGAAGAGGCTAAACCCAAGACAGTGAAGTCCAGTGTGAACCTGGTTCTGTGTGGGAGGAGAGGAGCAG